GAAGAAGAAGAAGAAGAAGAAGAAGAAGAAGAAGAAGAAGAAGAAGAAGAAGAAGAAGAAGAAGAAGAAGAAGAAGAAGAAGAAGAAAGATGGGGAGAGGGGTGGGGTGAATAAAAACATGTGAAAAAGATAAACATGACCTGTGAGGGAAAAGTAAAAAGGATTCCGACAAGAAAAGACCCCCCCAAACCCGGAAAAAGGTACACACCACCCCCTTCCACACGCACAAAAGAAAAACAAACTTGTGCAATTCTGGCAGGTCACTCGCGACGTGAAAATGGTCGCTTTTGAGGACAAGTGGGCTAAATCCAGAAATGATGTTTTGAGAAAATCGAATTTAAAGTTTTTTGCCCCTTGTTCGGTTTATTTAAAAAAACAAGGACAGTTTTCTCTATAACCAAACAAAATTACACACCAATGAAACCAAACTTCTCCTATAGGTAATGCAACGCCCACTTTTGGTGAAGGTCAAGATTTCTGGAAACTTCCGAAATCTGGGTTAGCCCGCTTGTCATTAGAAGAGACCAAATAAAGTATACAAGCAAAACACAATCACCGTTATGAGGCTGAACTCACCTTTAAATACTCTGCAATTTTTTCTGCTGTGTCATCTCTCAGACCATTACCTATTGGATGAGTCGTTTAGTTTAGTTTTAATAAGAGTTTTACGGCACTCGCAACCCAATTAGGCCATAAAAGTGCCGACGATTTTAGAGATGTTACGAGAGAGTAATATACAAAGGAATGAATGAGGGAGAGATAATGACGAGAGATGTTTGACATTAAAGACGCAGTAAATGGAAGGGGGTGTACCACGTTTTTTTCTCCCTCAAATACAATATCAGTTATTAGATCTGCCCTACCTTGTCCAACTTAAAAACATGATTTTTTTTCCTTTGCAGATATCTTTATTGCGCCAATTTTTAACAAAACTTTACAAGTAATCTTGTATAGATTTGTCTTAATTAACTGTGAGTAAATATTTTCTCTTTATCTTGTTGAGTAATAATTTATTAAGTCAAAATAACGCGATGACTATCAGTGCTCGAAAGCTCACAATAATCCAGGTTGTTATACTTTGATTTTTAAAGGTATATTGAGAAAGTGGATTTCTTTTTCTTCATTTCTGTTATATGAGTCTCTGATTGCGCACTAATTTTTGGTTTTGTAAATTTCCAGTTAGCGTGAGCTCAAAGACGAGTTCTGTTTGCATGAAGGTAATATATTCCTATTCCTATGATTTTTAAAGCATGCAAAATCAGAATACAATTGGGTTACAATCAGAATACTGAGCACGTATCTAGCTTAACACTACTAATATTTACAACCACTGTTTATTTGTATTATGTACGTGACTGTGAACCCATATGTGAGTGCAAGCATACTATTATATTAGATCTCTGTTATGTGCACAGATGTGTATGGGGGGAGAGTATGTGTGAGAGAGAGTGTGTGTATATAGGTGTGCACATGCGTAGGCGTATGCTTGTGTGTGCATGTTTGTGTGTGAGTGTGTGTGTGTGTGTGTGTGTGTGTGTGTGTGTGTGTGTGTGTGTGTGTG